CATTAGTCTACTGCCATGGAACAAATTCCATATAATGTCATCTTGTATCAAAAATCAAATTTGTAATTAGGAGCAAATCTAGTGGCAGTAACTCACCTCTTCCCAATCCGGAATCACCTGAGAGCCCAAATGCTGGCACTTACAATCACCTAGTTTAGTCATAGATCTATCAGGTGTACGGTCACAGTTTCCATAGGACATTTCAGACTGATGCCACTGAACATTCCAATGTGTGTTGACCAGAAATCCCAAATGAATAAGCTTGGAAAGATAGAAAATAAAGGTCTGTATAGAGTCTTTCAGAGACCTTCTGTGGTAAGCTCCTGTCCTCTTCCCTGTTCCCTGTTCCTAGCAGGGTATTGAAGCAGACACTGAGACTCATAGCCAAACTTAGAGCAGAATGCAGGGAATCTTATGAAAGAAGGAGGAGATAGAAAGACCTGGAGGGGACTGGAGCTCCACATGGAGAGCAACAAAACCAAAATCTCTGGGCTAAGGAGTTGTTTCTGAGACTGATACTCCAACCAAGGACCATGCATAGAGATAACCTAGAACCCATGTACAGAGGTAGCCCATGGCAGCTCAGTGTCCAAGTGGGTTCCCTAGTAAGAGTAGCAGAGGCAGTCTCTGACATAAACTCAGTGGCTGGTTCTTTGATAACCTCCCCCTGAGTGGAGAGCAGCCTTACCAGGCCACAGAGGAAGACAATGAAGCCAGTCCTGATGAGACCTGACAGGCTAGTGTCAGAGGGAAGAGGAGGAGGAGCTTCTCTATCAGTGGACTTGGGGAGGGGAATGGGAGGGCAGTATTGGGAGGGGATGAAGGATGGGGCTACAGCTTGGGTATACAGTGAATAAGTTGTAATAAATTTAAAAAATTAAAAGTTCTAAAAATAGAAAATAAAGGTCTGTCTCATCTAACATGTCTTCACAAGTTACTTGATCTCATTAACTGAGAGTCAACAACACAGACTCAAAAAAAACACAAGTGTAGGAGCAAACGGGTACATTTTAATTTGATAACCAGGAAAAATAAAACAGGTATGTGCCAATGTTCAAAATCTGCCTTATTTTCCAAAGGTAAATGAACATAATATTTTAAATATCATTCTAAGAAATAATCAACCATTATTTCTAAAGGAACATCATCAAAGCCACTTTGAAAATATAAGACCTTGTTTTATCACAAGATTGTAGAGACTATTTATAACAAGATGTATCATCTGAAATTATTTTACTAAAATATCAGAATCTAACCAATAAAAATTTAAATATTTAATATATTTAATTAAGAGTCAAATCTTTTGCTTTGTTTTTAAAATACATCACAAATATAATTTTGATATTTTTTTAACTTTTATTTTATGTGTATATGAGTTTTAGCCTAAATATGTTTGTGCAGTGTCCACAGAGGCCAGAGAAGGGTGTCAAAGCCCCTAACAATAGAGTCAGAGACAGTTGTGCCTGCAAAGTGGGTGCTGTGAATTGAATCCAGGTCCTCTGCACAAGCAACCAGTGTTCATAATTCCTAAGCCATCTCTCTAGACCCAGAAGTTATACCCTAAATAGAGAAACTTTACTTTGATTAATTATAAATCAAAAGTACATTGATTAACATTAAATGATTTGAAATATGTTTAAAAATAAACATTTTCATATATGAGAAATCACGCAAAGAAAATATCTTTCCTGTTTATGTACCAGTGTCTACCTGTAGCCAATAGGAAGCTTTCACTTTAAATTATCATACATACCAACCACAGGTTTTCTGTGTCATTTCCTACTACAAAAATAAAACATGGCATTCACTAGTAGAAAGTAATTATGCAATTGGCAAGAATTTCATACAGCACATATCACTATCTATCTTTCAAAGTAGAAGGTTAGCATAAAGCACACTGATTTCTAGGCAGTAATTATTTGACCTTGGATCAGGGATCTGTTAAGAACTAAAACTGGAAGATAAAAGATATGGTAAAAATATCTGAGAAAAAGTTAAGTAGCTAGATCTTTCAGAGATCTTTGCTCCTCATGTTCATATCCACCTGAGTGCAACTACCAAAGATAAGTCACTACATAAAAAGATGAGCCCATGCAAACGATTAAAATTAGACTCATGGTTATCACTTCGCACAAAATTAAGGCTAAACAGCTCAAAGAACTCAAAGTGAAAGCTGAAACACTGGAAGTAAACATGGATAGTACCCCACGATACAGGCACAGAGAAGGACTCTCTGAACAGTTGTACTTCTATTGCCCAGAAAGTAAGGGCATCAATGGGCAGGTGGGACTTAATGAAACTAAAAAGCTTCTGCACAGCTAAAGAAATAGTCAAGTAAAGAAGAGATTCATAGGATAGGAGAAGATCTTTTCCAGATAAACATCTGATAGGGGATTGATCCAGAATATTAAGAAAAATTGTCAAGCAAATAAAAGACCCACCCCCACCCCCCAAAAAAAAGCCTGTACATCTGAATAAAGAATTCTGAAAACAAATAAAGATGGATAAGACACATCTCATGAAGTAGTTCTCATTACTAGCAATTAAAGAAATGAGACTCAAAACAACCATGAAATTGCATCTAACCCCAGTCAGAATGAGGCAAAGGTTAAAAGAAGAAGAAGAAGAAGAAGAAGAAGAAGAAGAAGAAGAAGAAGAA